TGGAGAGTGTTTGCTCAAAGGAACGTATCTGTAGCAAATTCAATTCCCTACATTCCCTACAAAATCTGCAAACCCTTTTTTTTCTAAAAAAAAAATAATACCGAAGAATTGACTTGATACCGAAAAACCTAGTCCTAGATATCTACAGAAAACTGTATTGAGAATTGTTCCATGTCTAGTGGCAACGTATGATAGTTTTCTCCTAATTCTTTAGAGCCTACTCCACCGTAAACGTGTGCTCGCACCTCTCTCGCTCTCTCTCTCTCTCTCTTGCCCCACAGTAATATACGAAACGTACCTCTCTTTCAATACTCACTAACTTATACCTCCCGATCACATTTCGTAAGGCTTTTGTCAAACATTCATCAGCTTACTCCCCAAGTTAAGCGCACGTAAAGAAGTTTTAATTCAAAAATCGTCTACCCTTAAAATAAATAATGAGGTCCCTCAAGGATCGATTTCAGGTCCACTTCTCAATTCTCAAAGTGGCTTCTTCAATCAATACTTTATTTTTCTGAGACTTTTTCACAAGCATGAAAATCGTCACATACAACATATAAATGTAGGAGTTTTCTGTCTGACCTATCCATTTAGTCCAAGTCTCCAGAAAACACTGCAGCCTCTTGGGCTCATTGCGTTTATTCTCCCATCTTCTCATGACACCCATCCCATCAGTCTCGCCCTGTAGGGGAGAGGGGGGTACATTGGGACACGGGGCACATATGGACATTTCAAATTTTTGCGCCATTAAGCATAAAGTTGAGTTGTAATGCTTATCGTTAGAGCGCACCACGTACCTTTTTTATTGTAGAAAAGTTTCGAAAGCGTCAAGCGACTCAGTACCTAGTTACAGTTTGTTACGTGCACGTGTCCGGCGTGGTAAATAAATCAGAAATCGTTTGAGATCGAATATTTTTCAAGTGGATGCTAGAATTAACTCTGTTGAAATTCTGAAGGTAAGTGGAATTGTTTATGCTCATTATGTCTGTAAGTGCTGATGTTATTGTTTATTTTAGTTATTTATATAAACCCATTTTGTTTATAAGAATGATTGGGGCAGATTGGGACATCTAGTCGGGGGCACATATAGACACTGTCCCAATCTGCCCCAGAGAAAAATGTGGGAATTGACTGCATTTTTTTTCAGGCATCAACATGGTAAGGACTTACAAGAGGAAGACCAATCGTTCTGATATATCAGAGGAAAACATAATGGCCGCTGTCGAAGATGTTTTGCAAGGAAGACTTTCAATAAGAACTGCAGCCACAACCTACAATTTGACGAAATCGACCCTGGGTAACAGACTGAAAAAAATAAAGAGACGACGTTTCGAAAATCCTGGCCGAGACCATGACGCTCCTGACAGACAAGATTCAGATGATCCAATATCATTTGCATCACCATTCCAGTCAAAGTATTCGTCTCAACAAGTTTTTACATCTGCTCAAGAAGAACAACTGGCCAAATATTTTATCCAGAGTTCGAAAATGAATTATGGTCTCACATATACACAAGCTCAAAAGCTGGCATATGATTATGCCAAAAAACTAAATGTGAAGTATCCGCCGAGCTGGAATAACTCGTTATCCGCTGGAAAGGATTGGATGAAATCATTCATGAAGAGGTATCCAATTTTNTGATAGATAGTACACTTATAAATGTAAACAACATAAAATTATTTGATCAATATATCGAAAGCCAAGCTCTACATAGCTAATTATATTTGTAGCGTCCCAATGTCCCCCCCTCTCCCCTACTAATTTGTACAGGTTCCGTGTTGGATGTTCGTCATATTCTTCTGGACGTAATTTCGTACGTCCATATATTGCCTACCTCCTGTGATTCAGTGCCTCGCATTCGCATAAGATGTGTAGATGTGTTTCTATCCCTTCGTTGCATAATCTGCAGCTGAGGTCCCGTTGAACAGCCCCATTTTATATTCAGGTGTACTCTAAGCGGACAATGACCGGTTAGTAACCCTGTAATTATTCTGAGCCGATACCTACTATATTGAAGTAGTTCTTCGGTTCTTTTCTCGGACGGTTCCCTAATGAAGGTTATACTGTGTTTGTTGCCAGGTACTTTTGTCCAGTACTCTGTGTGCTTCTTATTGGTCCATGTCCTAATCTGGTTTCTTACCAATGATTTTGGTACCCCCAGAGCTGGTTCAGGACCTAGGTATATATGAAGTTGATGATCTGCGTCTAGCGCATTCATCAGCTTTATCATTACCTGTGATTCCTGAATGCCCTGGCACCCAGTACAAAGTTAATCTGTTCTTGTTTGACTGATTGATTGATTCATACTTCCATGCATTGTTACGCCGACGATACACAATGTATTATTCACATTTTGATGAAAATTCACTCAATAGTGAGCTTGATCAAATTTCATGTCATGCTCTTTGGTAGGCCAACTGCAAAGAATCGTAGCGAATTGATTAATATTTTCATCGATGGGGTTCAATTACCAAATAGAGACATCACGAAAAGTTCAGGACCTCAATTCGATATTTTCACTATACGTTTCTCAGATTCTTAAAAAGGGTTATATGAATATAAAATTAGTATACTCGAGAAAAAATCTTTTGAACAAACAAATTAATTTTAACTCTGCGACGCACTGGTACTATCTCATGCCAATTATGAGGATACTGTTGATGGCCCAGGACTCTCTAAATCTGACGGCAGATACTTCAAAAACTGCAGAATTCGTGCATAAGACTCGTCTCAGGCGCAAGAAGACGTGTGTCAATATTTGGAACAACTTGAAACGCTGAATATGGATGCTATGCGCACACTGCATTCTCCTTAGGTTCCATAAGATCATATTCACTGGAAAACCTGCTCACCTTTGCACTAAATTGTCCTTTACAACCGATACACATAATCCAAATTTGAGATTCAAACATCTTTTGATTGCACCTAAACATAATACCTTTTTTTTTCGAGGTTTTCTTTCTTATTCGTTGCACGCTTAAGTAATCGACTTCCTATTGAACTGAAATCACTGTCACCAATTAGTTTCAAGAAAAATCTGTAGAGATATACGTTTCAATCCGG